CAGAAACTGACGACTCGTCTTTATAAAATAATTTGTCGATCTAAAAATGTCGATCTTTTGTTAGCATGAAAACATTAAATGGTGTGGCTGTTAAAATTGTAATTCATTTTTACTAGCTTAATTCCGGTTGCACGAAATTCACCGAATTTTAAACACGGAATTTATTTTTATTTTAAACATTTTCGCGTAACTCATCAGGGGACACAACTCTCTGATAATTTTCTTTTCAAATATACTAATGATATGCGGCTGAATTATTTCTTCATTTATATCTTTAAAATGTAATTTGCATGTTGAATCTAAAATTGTAATTCCGAAGGTACAGTTTGAATGACAATAGGTAAACTTGTAAGGTAGTGAACCTTTCATGTGAACATCTGAATGATATATTGAACGGTTTGGTTTTAAAATATCAAATAACGCTGACAAATTTTTGACACAGTTGGTTCAATAGTGTTCGCTTTAGTTGTGTGTTTAGCAAGAGTCGGGTTTTGTCAAATGTACACATGCACATAAACAAACATACACATAAACACATGGCACAGAATACATTCAAATTATACACGATCATACACATACGCAACATATTATAAAATAATAATATGGTTTACACACACACACACACCTACACTATAATTACACCATTCACTCAGAAAAATACAAACACACACAGAAGAATACAATCACACACAGAAGAATACAAACACACAAAACACAAACACACACTTACAGACGAACACCAAAATCCTGTTTGTAAAATGACGAACAAATTGCTAGCAAACATTACGGTGAGTTAACAAGGCTATGGCCAAACGCTCAGCACACACACAAACACATACACACACATACACACACACTTACTCACACTTACACACACACACCCTTATACACACATCTCCACACACCAACTCACACTTACACACACACACCCTCATACACACACCTACACACACTTACGCACACACACTTACACACACACCCTCATACACACACCTACACACACTTACACACACACATACACACACACTTAATCACACTTACACACTTACACACTTACACACACCCTCATACACACAAGCACACACATACACACACACACATTCACGTCACATACACACACGCCGATCAGAATCCGGGTCGTTATATAACCCAGCGTCTTCGTACAAGAGAGAAAAAAAGATGAAATAATAATGTAATGCACGAACACGGTGATGCTAAAGATTAGCCCAGCTTTCTACACGTCAAGCAGACGGTTGGCGTTAATCGTTGCGTTACATCAGCCGGAAACATTGGCAGAGTTTTTATCTACGCACCGGTCAGGTCCGTTTATGCTCAATAATAGAGAAATCTGATTTGCTTTGTCAGTTTACGACTTTTGAAAAGGATTTTTTAAAATCCAACACAAATTTGATTTTAACAATTGGGGGAGATTAGCCTGTGGGTTTAAAAATTTATTTAATGCTTTTAATCTTAGGGGTATGGTCAGAGGCGTAGCGAGGGGGGGGGGGGGGGGCGGGGGTGCGGACCGCACCGGGTGACACCATTTAGGGGGGTGACACCAAGGCAAAAAATAGCAAAATATATAGAGAAAAACTTGAGGGGGGGGGGGTGCAAATCGAAAGTTCGAGGGGGTGCAAATCGAAAGTTTGAGGGGGGGGGGTGCAAATCGAAAATTTGAAAGTTTTTCCCCGGGAAGGGTCGCAGGGTCGCTACGCCTCTGGGGGGGGGGGGGGGTGACACCATCAAGTGCCGCACCGGGTGACACCCGACCTCGCTACGCCACTGGGTATGGTTGAGTCGGTCAGAACATAGGTTGATAAATGTGTGTTTTGTTAGATGTCATTTATTCGCACATCAAGTGTACTGAGCACATGATGATAAAAATGTGTAGTTACATGTGATCTATTCACACATCAATTCCCCTAATACATGTTGATAAAGGTGTTGTTAAAAGTCATAATTTACCATCTATACACGATGAAAACATGTTAATAAAGCGACAAAAGAACAATTGTTTGAGGTTTATATTCCAATAAACTAGTGAGTTATTGTACTTTCGTAAAGCGAGCCACGTTAACGATTACAAGCCAAGCTAAACTAGTTTATTCCATGGGCTCAAGCTTATTAGTCTTATGTTTGTATTTTCTCATATCATTCCACTATTCCAGAAGGTGTCTACTGACACCCCCCCCCCCTCCCCCACACCTCTTGACTCCCCGTCTTTGCACCAATGACTGCCGCAGTGACGCCCAAATAGACCGATACGGTTCAACAGATCTCTGCTTTCACTAAGATAATACCCAGTTCGTTAAACAAGAAATTACTGCTTTAGATATCTTGCTCGTTAATCGAGACATCATTGTAGTAAATATCTAATTCGTAAATCAAAACATCACAGTGGTAAATACCTAGTTCCTTGTTATGTTTTTTTAGCGGTTTGTAGTATTGACTTGGACGGTTGGAAGTGTTACATTGGACGGTTGGAAGTGTTACAATGGACGGTTGGAAGTGTTACAATGGACGTTTGGAAGTGTTACAATGGACGGTTGGAAGTGTTACAATGGACTGTTGGAAGTGTTACAATCGACGTTTGGTAGTGTTATAATAGACGGCTGGTAGTTTTACAATGGACGGTTGGTAGTGTTAAAATGGACGGTTGGTAGTGTTATAATGGACGGCTGGTAGTGTTATAATGGACGGCTGGTAGTTTTACAATGGACGGTTGGTAGATTTGCAATGGACGGTTGGTAATGTTCAAGTAAGCAACTTATTACACAAAGAGAAACTTAATCAAGCTTAGTTTTTCATCGTGAAATTTTCTTTTTATCAAAATCAACTTTTTAAAAAAAAATCAAATTTTGAAACAAAATAAAAACAAAAAATAGGACTGAAAAATTGGTGTCGTAAAGTTCATTTTCTGATGGGACTGGCCGTGTCTACAAAGTGTCGATTAAAAAAAAACAACAGGTATTTGAACATCGTCCAGCCATTGGTAAAAAGTCAGCTAATATTCCCTTTTCAACCTGACTTCAGTTAACGCTTCATCTGGGTCTGGGTCGTCATAGGGTCTTTCTACTCAACCCGGATTCAAACTCGAGACTTTCGATTAGCAGGATAAAGCTCTACTCACAGTGCACGGGTAAAACACACAAAAAATATATAGATATTTATTTTAACCGAGAACATACGGAATTTTTTCCCCCACGATACTGATAGATTTGTAAAAGTTCACAGTATTTTGTTCTATTTAAATTTCTCCAGTAAAAAAAAATGGAAACCAAATACGTTAGTATTTAAAGAAACACAAATATTAAAAAACAAGTTAATAAAAAGTCTAGTGACAATTTAAGCGCAATTTCCTTAATTAATTTTTTGTGACCGAACGAAAGGATATTTTTGAAAACTTTCTTCGGCAATATTGTTCTAAGTTATGGCAGGAATCGATTGGTAAATGTTTCAAGTCGCTAAGTGGTCTGGTTGCCGAGATATGGGCCAAAAACTGCATTTTTTCGAGGTTTTTTGGCTTTTCCGGGAAATCCAGGAAGGAATTCCGGGAATTTTTTTGGCCCACAATCATCCTCGGAACTTGCTTAACATATTTGCTTTGGAATTAGTCCTCGATATTGCTTCGTTGAGGAGGAGATACGACTTAAAGCTGCGAACACACATCCATCCATCCATCCATCCAGAAATAACGAATTAATAATCGCAATTGTCAGTATGAAAATTGCGCTAAAAAATAAGAAAAAATGGGCTGAGTTTTGAATAGACAGGTTCAGAAAGTTAAAGGTTAAAGGAGGGTGGAGGAGGGGAGGGAGTGGATTAAGTTTTTTTTTTTTTTTTTTTTTTTTTGTTTGTTTTTTTTTGTTGGTAAAACGGGATTTTAAATTTAGTTAAAACATAAGGTGACGGTGAAAGCAGATAAAGAGTAGATTTAAGGAATTGGGGTTTAATTAATATAAGAAAAGTTTCTATTAGAATAAATGAGGTTTGCGTTTGTATAATGTAGCTGTTCCGCCCAGGACCCTAAGCTAGACTAAGCTCAATTCAAAGACCTAACACTGTAAACCTAAGCTCAGCTCCGAGACCTAAAACTTTTTTTTTTTGGCTTTATGGCACCAAGTTCTCCTTGATGCCCTTAATGACATTTCGCAAGACCCAGATGTCATATGTCACGAGACCCAGATGTCATATGTCACGATACCCAGATGTCATATGTCACGAGACCCAGATGAAATTGTTGACATTAAAATCTCTAAATATCTCTATACAAAAAAAAAATTAGTTTTTCCTTACTCCTTAGAAATAAGCAGAGTAAGAAACGGTAGAGGAAAAATTCAGTGTATAAATTATAAATGTAACGGCCAGCTGAGTGTTTGTTTCGTATTAATGGTTCCAGACTATTTAACTTTAATTTATATGTCTGTATAAACTGTTTGTATTTCACTGAATTATTATTAAAATGTTAAATATATATATATATATATATATATATATATATATATATATATATATATATATATATATATATATATATATATATATATATATATATATACACAAATATATATATATTTATATATATACATAAATATGTAGGCCTATATACATAAATATGTATATACATAAATATAAGAGTGTGTGTATTGGCTAATATATATCATGTGATCCGTGTTTCTTTCAGACTTTTTTTTATCCTGGGGGGGGGGGGGGGTAAGGTACTTGAAATTTTCGGGGGGGGGGGGGCACTGTTTATATATTTGCTATATAAATTCCATTTCGTTCGGGGGGGGGGGGCGGTAGACTTTCTTGAGGCCCCCGAAGAGATGTCTGGAAGAAACTCTGAGTGAGACTGATATGTGTATAGTGTATTAGAATTATTTATTCTATACATTTTACGAGGCATGGTACCGATTGTATTTTATTTACTTTATTAGGTGAACCTAATGTGGTGACCTTATCTGACCTTGACCCTAATGTGGCGACCTGATTGTACTCACCTAGCATGTCCTGGTGCGGCGGGTGCAGGCCTGTGTAGTGGAAGTAGGGGGCGGGCCGGGGGTGCCCGTGGAACACGGTGGGCCCCGGGCGGCTCAGGATGCTGTCAATGCTGAAAGGGTTGCCGGACATGGCGCCAGGGTTGAACATAGAGGACAATGTGTTCTGGCAAGATTTGAAGTGTTCAGCGGTCAAGGCCGCGGTCAGCCCGCCGTAGAAGTAGGTCAGTGGGTGAAGGTGGGGGACGAACCCCGGGTTGTCCAGGAGGTGGGCGGGGTGGTGGTACGGCCGGACCGAGGTCTCGGACGCCATTTTGAGGCTGAGTTCTTCTTGCAGGCGCTCGTCGTAGACCAGGGGCGGCACCCGGGGTTGGACGTCTTTTTCTGGGGAGCGCAGCATCTCCGGCGGGACTCCGGTGACTCTCCGGCGTGGTAACAACAGCTCTCCGGTGGCTCTCCGGTGACTCTCCGGCGACTCTCCCGTGTATCTCCGGATACTCTCTGGATCTGTCCAACAGCTCCCCAACAGCTCTCCGCAGATAAAAAAAAAAGTTAGGTATGGTGTCGTGGTGTGGTGTATCAGTTGACGTCTGGCTTATTAGATGGTCGTCTGCTGAACGTTTTTGTTTGCATCGGATGGTGTGCTCATATATCAGATGGTGTGCTCATATATCAGATGGTGTGCACATATATCAGATGGTGTGCTCGTATATCAGATGGTGTGCTCGTATATCAGATGGTGTGCTCATATATCAGATGGTGTGCTCATATATCAGATGGTGTGCTCATATATCAGATGGTGTGCTCATATATCAGATGGTGTGCTCATATATCAGATGGTGTGCTCATATATCAGAGGGTGTGCTCATATATCAGATGGTGTGCTCATATATCAGATGGTGTGCTCATATATCAGATGGTGTGCTCATATATCAGATGGTGTGCTCATATATCAGAGGGTGTGCTCATATATCAGAGGGTGTGCTCATATATCAGATGGTGTTTTCATTTATCAGATGGTGTTTTCATTTATCAGATGGTGTTTTCATTTATCAGATGGTGTTCTAGTGTATCAGATGGTGTGCTGGTTTTTTTCGTGCATCAGATCGTATTCTCATATATCAGATGGTGTCCAGGTGTATCAGCGGTGTTCTAATATATCATTTGGGTATTTGATGCCACCACACAGTTTGATGTGTGGTGAATCATATGGTGTTTTTGATGAGTAAAATGGTGTTTTTGTTACTAAACGGTGTTAAATGAAAGATACTTTGCGATCTTTTAAAACCATGCCGCTGGGAAAAGAAATGAAAATTGAAAATTATTAAAAGGATATTTTCTTTTATAAATTTTATATTAGTATGTAAACTTATATTTGAAATGTTAAACCAATCAATTGAGGATTAGTTTGATTTTTATTGCACCATATTAAAACATGTTAAAATGAATTAGGCCTACATGATAAATAAATATTTAAACATCTTGTGAGAAACGCGGAGTGTGAAATCATTTTAAAATTAAAAGACGATTTAAACAGATCATGTCAATTATTATTACTATTTATTGTTAGATCACTTAGGGAGAACATTATTACGTACTTTATAAAGAGGACAAATAACTAAAAATGTTTTGCCAGTAAATTTAATTCATCTATATATATAATTCTCCTCTTCGAGCCGTTAGAAAACAAGCTGCAAACGCTCTCCCTACCTCCCCACCCCTACATGGTTTTAGTGAGCTGTGTTCACTCTAAATGTTTACAAGCAGAGCCAACGATTTTAAACGTAGGGGGGGGGGGAAGGAAGGGGGGGTTATGGTCCTTAACGAGCTACTTATAGTGTTTTATAGTGTTTTAAAGAAATATTTTCAGTGTCAGCGTTGGTACTGTCGAATTCACAAATTATGAATTATTGAAAATTAGAAACAACTAAATAGCGGCGTATGTTATGCCGCGGGCCGGCTCGTTATCTATAAAAGACTAGATTTTCTGAAACTTAATCATTAGATTTTTAGGATAATTTCATTTAAATGTTTAATATTTAGAGGACAATTAGTTAAATATCAAATTTTTATTTGGATAAATCATTGTAATTAAATAAACATAGAAAATAAGAGTTGCTTTTGAAATAGGCCTACAACTAATTAATTAAATTGTGTTTATTTTTTGTTCATTTGTCGATGAAAATAATTATTTCCTGCTTAAGTTTGGGGTTGAATTAAATTAAATGCGGGAAGGAAATATTATACGAATGAAATTATTTTATAACAACTTAAAATTTTATTCTATAAACTATGGGCTAGAGTTCCGACACCAATAGCCTCAAATAATTGGATCTCAATGTAGATATATCATAGCTTTTATCTGTGTATCAAAACATAGAGATTTATTTTGTTTGTATCTAACAGCTTTTACTTTTATTGTAACGAATTTGATATAGCGCCTTTATTTATTTACTATATTTGTGATAGGACCTAGGTATTTATTATAAATATATTTATTTCAAAAATATAATTGTTGAATTATAACATACGAGCCGGCCCGCGGCATAACATACGCCGCTATTTAGTTGTTTCTAATTTTCAATAATTCATAATTTGTGAATTCGACAGTACCAACGCTGACACTGAAAATATTTCTTTAAAACACTATAAGTAGCTCGTTAAGGACCATAACCCCCCCCCTTCCTTCCCCCCCCCCCCTCCCCCCCCCCCTACGTTTAAAATCGTTGGCTCTGCTTGTAAACATTTAGAGTGAACACAGCTCACTAAAACCATGTAGGGGTGGGGAGGTAGGGAGAGCGTTTGCAGCTTGTTTTCTAACGGCTCGAAGAGGAGAATATATAGATTTTAGAAATATTTATATTTATTTTAAAAGCACAATTTTTCAACAATTTTTAGATGTGTTTTTCTTTACGTAAATATATACTTAGGCCTATATATATATATATATATATATATATATATATATATATATATATAACGAAATAGGTGCTAAATAATGAAACTACTCCGGAAACTTTCAAGTGAATATACCTGCTACAGGAACATAATAGATGAAACCTGCTACTGATGTCACATAAACTTATAATCACAGATACCGCTACAATATCACACGAAAAGATTTTGATGTGAAAATATAACTGTAGATTTGTTGTAAATCAGCTAGTGATATAAATAAAACTTGAAGCGAACCTACCGTGCTTTATTACAATTTAATTAAACATACATCTCCCTACTGTTACAAAAGTGTGTAATTAAAATATGCATATAAATGTTATATATATACATGATATAATATTAAATGAAATTGTATATATTAAAGAATATATTTAAACTTAGGCCCTATATGTTTATTTGTAGCCTATATATTATATGTGGGCTATATAAATATAATTGAATTTAAAAATAAAATAACTGTATGTTTCTTCAAATTCGCGGATAATGTTTTAGGAACTTTTTATTATAATATAAAAATTTGTTTGATGAAAGCCAAGAAATACTCACTTCAGTTCATTTTGTTGTTTGCTTCATAAATTCATTTCAACTGTTTGTGATTTATTGTTGTTGGTACTTTCATTCCATTTGCACCATTATTTGTTTGTTTATAAATTTGGTATTATTCAATTAAAATTAATGAATTAATTTCCAGCTTTCGTTTTATAAATTAGCTGTTGATTTTCTTTTTTCTTTTGACAAAGATGTCTTTTGAATATTTTCTCCAATATGACGAGAATTCTGTTCTTGAATTATCCAAAAGTGTTACATGAAGCGACGAGTGTCAGAAGCAGAAGTAAGTTTATTGTGTGAACACGACGTCTGAAGGACTAGTCTGGTGACGCCGACGTTGAACGGGCTACAACAACAGATCTCCGTCTTTGGGAGTCTTCCTCTTGCCCAAATACGAAAACACCGAACATCGATCTGAATAGCGGTAGGAGACAGCGATTGGACGAGATGACGGAGAGACACACGTCAAGGATTGGACGGGAGGACGACAAAAGTCGTCAAGCCCTGCCTCTAAAGGTCTCAGAACCGGAGAATGTCGTCGCTAGCGGCGGGGGTGGGATCAATAGGGACAAAAGACTTTAGAGACTGACGGCTTTAAGGCGGGGCCTGTATAAATACCAGCCAATCGATGGGCTTTATCGGCCGGCTGGAGGTGTTTTCCGATAGCCGAAAACATAGATGAATGGAATAATCACATTGATCTGATTGTGTGGCGTATCGAAATCAAATTAACTGGCAGTGGTCATAACTCGATAACATGGAGTGAAATTCGATTAGTACGGAGCTTTCGGGATTGACAGCGAGGCGCCATTTTGGTGTCCCTTTTAGCTTTACAATTTCAAGTTAATTTAGGTGAAGGCTTTATTTTCAAAACAATATTTATTTAAAGAAAGGGAGATATAGAACTACACGCTAATGGTGAACTAGGTGAAACCTAAATGTGGTAGTGAGACTGGTGCAAGAAGCTGTGTGGTGGTGAGACTGGTGTAAGAAGCTGTGTGGTGGTGAGACTGGTGCAAGAAGCTGTGTGGTGGTGAGACTGGTGCAAGAAGTTGTGTGGTGGTGAGACTGGTGTAAGAAGCTGTGTGGTGGTGAGACTGGTGCAAGACGCTGTGTGGTGGTGAGACTGGTGTAAGAAGCTGTGTGGTGGTGAGACTGGTGCAAGAAGCTGTGTGGTGGTGCAAGAAGTTGTGTGGTGGTGAGACTGGTGCAAGAAGCTGTGTGGTGGTGCAAGAAGTTGTGTGGTGGTGAGACTGGTGCAAGAAGCTGTGTGGTAGTGCAAGAAGCTATGTGGTGGTGAGACTGGTGCAAGAACCTGCGTGGTTGTGAGTGAGACTGGTGCAAGAAGCTGTGTGGTGGTGAGACTGGTGCAAGAAGCTGTGTGGTGGTGCAAGAAGCTGTGTGGTGGTGCAAGAAGCTGTGTGATGGTGAGACTGGTGCAAGAAGCTGTGTGGTGGTGGGTGAGACTGGTGCAAGAAGCTGTGTGGTGGTGCAAGAAGCTGTGTGGTGAGTGAGACTGGTGCAAGAAGCTGTGTGGTGGTGCAAGAAGCTGTGTGGTGGTGCAAGAAGCTGTGTGGTGGTGCAAGAAACTGTGTGATGGTGAGACTGGTGCAAGAAGCTGTGTGGTGGTGAGACTGGTGTAAGAAGCTGTGTGGTGGTGCAAGAAGCTGTGTGGTAGTGCAAGAAGCTGTGTGATGGTGAGACTGGTGCAAGAAGCTGTGTGGTGGTGGGTGAGACTGGTGCAAGAAGCTGTGTGGTGGTGAGACTGGTGCAAGAAGCTGTGTGATGGTGAGACTGGTGCAAGAAGCTGTGTGGTGGTGAGTGAGACTGGTGCAAGAAGCTGTGTGGTGGTGAAACTGGTGCAACAAGCTGTGTGGTAGTGCAAGAAGCTGTGTGGTGGTGAGACTGGTGCAAGAAGCT